GGGAGGGGGGAGGGGAGCAAGACAGAAAGAAAAGAAACGAACAGCGTGATGACACGTGTCCGACAAGAACACAACGGTTGGGTTGAAGGAAGGAGTTCAATCCGAGCTGCTCTCTGTCGATATTCTTAACTTCAACTTTATATATTACCATTAAAAAAAAAAAGTCATCCAATCATTCAAAACCACGACATGCCAGGTCTATCAGTGTCGTGGAGGTCGGGACACTATCAGCCCGGTAGAGACATGATGGCCATCAGTACACCTTTTTTCCAATTCCATGCAAGTTCCAGACGGCTCGTGGAGGTCGGGACCCCGTCGAAAAGACCCCTCCCTGCTCACATTCACTCGAGAGTCCAGCCTCTCACTGTGGCGTTGGTTCGAGATGGAGAGAGAGAGAGAGAGAGAGAGAGAGAGAGAGAGAGAGAGAGAGAGAGAGAGAGAGAGAGAGAGAGAGAGAGAGAAGTGTATGCGGTGCAGCGCGACACGAGTTCATTTATATATATATATATATATATATATATATATATATATATATATATACACACTAGTATACAGCATGACTTCGTTCTTCTACCAGCTGTTTCCGTCCGCTAGCATAGACACAAATGGACTCTCAGTCCCGATGATCGTTGATGTGTCTACCTCTACCCCCTCTCCCTTTCTGTGTGTGTACTAGGATGATGATGGTGTGATGATGATACCCATGTGCCGACGATTTGTGCGCCCACTTAACCCATGCATTCTTATCGGTATGATCCTGACACTTAATATCCTTAGCCAGCTCTCAGGCTCAAAAGCGTTTCTGTCTGCTGACAGACTTTGCACCTAGCCCTTCCGTTCCGTTCCGTTCCGTTCCGTTAGGACACGCGTGCGTCGACATCAGTCGTAACGGAAAACACGCACACATGCAGTGAACGAGCTAAGCTTACAGTGTGTCCACCGTTACGGCCGGTTATGAGTGCTGCCACCTCGTGCTTGCCTCGGCTGTTAACGGTCGTCCGCGGTTAACAAATGGTGACAGCCGTTGCTGCTGCCGTTAGCCACCGTTAATTACTTGCCTTCATCACTCTGACCCCTCCAGCAGCATCACCAATCATGGTTTTGGCCACCGTGAGCCACCAGTAGGATTCACTCAGACTGGTCCGTTAAATCCCATCACTCAGTAGCCTCTCCGGCAGTAGGTACGGTGCGCTTGGGGCTTGAGAGCGCTTGGATTGTACTTGTTCTTGAGGTAGCAGCAGATCTTGCCCTTGACCCAATGGAACTCGCTGTCAATCCACACGACGCCTTGGCACCAGGGTTGCGCATAGCACAGACTCTGACAGCCCCATCTGGTCGCTCCAGCGTTGGGATTCTTCCTGCAGTCGATCCTCTGCTTCGTGTTCGGGTCGTGGTCCGTATTCTCCAGGCACCACCCCGACACAGCGTGCGGGAAAGCCAGCAGCACCAGCAGGCATACCGCCGCAACCACGACTACGGTAGACTTCATTCTCGGAGGGAGTCGGAGCGGAGCAACTTAACCTGCAGCCACGGACGCGTATACAACCTGCTAGTGCACCAGAAACACACACACAGGCCCGCGCACACACACACACACACACACACACACACACACACACACACACACACA